CCTAAAAACGTTCTCCCCTCACCGTGAATAAAAACGACGGTGGGAGTTCAAGATAGGGTCACCTAATAGTAATAGGAATTACTCTAAGTTTTATTGGTGTAAAGGCTTCCTTTCGGAGCCAATTGGAATTATTCTTATTTGAAGATGGTGCAAATAACAAAATTTATTGGATCCATTAATTGCTCATCAGTTGCTTCCTCTCGTTGCATAAAGTGAATAATGTAAGAGGAAATACAAAATCGAATTCATACAGAAAAATCGATATAAATAGCAAGGTCACAAGAAATGGCCAAGAGGCAATCAATAACATAAGCAATGTAAACGCTTTGGACAGCGAAAACGGAAACAAAGCGCCTAAGGCGAAAAGGTTGGGAAGGAGAACGTGTACACAGGGCGCCGTTGTTACCACGGCAAAGTAGGCCAAAGTAGACAAAAAAGCTGCTCAAGAGCAAGGGCCAGCCAGGGTGAAAGTAAGTGGATAGAGCTAACTTTGACTGATACAACGATGGCTGTCATTCTCGACAGCACTCTTCTCGGCAGGCTGATGAAAGGGTTGGTTGAAGTCTTTTCCTGGATTCGGGCTAGTTTTTTTCTTCTATCGTACGCGATACAACATGTTGAATTCTGTTATACTCTGGTTTAAGAAGAATACGCAGGCAAATTAATTGGCGTAATTGGAACACAAGTGGCCTTGGTGCCCAGAAATTTATTCAACAATCCCCTGACTTCATGGTAATCTCAATTCCGGAGTGACACACAGAGCACCTATGTGCTTCGCGTGGTGACGACATGCCCTTCCGAATCATGCCTCTCATGGTTCTTTTGAACTTATAATTATTTGACACGCAGTACATTTCCTGTTTGATGAAATGCCAATCCGAATTGTCAAATGTGTTTTCGGTTTGAATGTGTTACTTGAGTGAGGTTGACTACTGATTATTGTACACCGTAATCTCAAGATATTTCATTCATGGCAGAATGTCAGCTTTTGAACAAGCTTCTTCCTGGCCGCCTGTAAAAAGCATACCTAGAGCTTGTCGGTTCACGAACTAGCCCCACACAACTCAACCGAAAACTGCAACCAAATAGAATGGTCTGAGTGTTGACATCTGTGTAGGTGGAGGAAAACTACTTCTTTACTTTGAGGGTTATTTTTTTCTGAAATACCTTACCTTGGGCTTGTGATAGGAGACCCAGTAGATAATTATGGTGACCCCGTCAGGTCTGGAAAATTATGTCAGATACAGTAAAGAAGGTGAGTTCTAGAATCGTATAGCGAAACCTAGAACTTATCTTTGAAGTTTCTGACGACATTTTACAGTCATTGGAGACCGCGATACCAAACTTTGTGAGCTGGGATTTACGCTTGGCCCATACTTATTGCTCTGATACTTCTAAGGAAATAAGCTGCATCGATTTTTGTGAGTTAACTGTCTCCCGAATGATCGAAAACGTTCGCGTTCAAGGTATTTGCATGGATAAAGAAGAAGACATGTTGAGCACTGAATCAATCTGGTGCTCGACAAGTTTTCTTCGTTTACCGTCTCCTTTGCTGTTATAGACTGCACTTCGACTAACATAGTTCTAGGTCCTGCAGAAGACGACTGATATGTTTGCCTCAACTCCTCCAAACTCTGTTTGTCTTCATCCAAGCCTGAAATGGTAAATACGTCTTATTATTAATCGGCTTCAACCTTTATCTCAAGGCATGATCATAATCTTCCCGTCGATAGTGATTTGGGCCATTTGTTCCTTATGTTTGAGTTCCCTAGACATTTCTCATATATTTTCATCAAAGTTTTTACTTAGCATATGTTTGGATTTGATCAAAACTGTGTTGACTATTGTATTTCCTCCAACCCTTTTAAACCTGCTGAAGCCTGAGTCATGATGTCCAGAACTGATGAAAAAAACCGTATACTGGAGCTCCACATTCACCTTTTGCTTCCTTTCGAAGATGAAAATATCTTCAAAACATTCACATATCTGCACAAACTTATATTTCCCGACCTATCAACAGAAATAAATTTTAAAAAATAATAAAACATGACACACCAGGCTGTAGCAATTTTTTTTTCATTCTAGATTTCTGGATCAAATGCGTTATGGCGGGGTTTTTAGTCTTCATTAAGACAAGAAGCTAACGTTTCGAGCACGTCCTAGAGACATATTATCTTGTTGCTCACAACAGCCTGCATGATCACGAACTTAACCCTCTAGGGTTTAGTTATTTTCTAAGGTTTATAGTTCATTTGTCCGCGAAAATAATTAAGCATTCCGTTCCCGATTGTCTGCCTCCATTATATTTCCCACCTTATATGCATACCTGCTTCCTACGTACAAGAGAGATTATGTTAAAAAAAGGTTTGCGCGAAATTAAGTTACCATGGGAAACCAATCAGCTGTCAGGGAACTCATCTGAATCCAAGGTGAGTTTAGATAAAGTTTACATTTATGAATTTTTAAAGCACTCGTATCCGGCAGCACTGAAATGAGACGGAAAGTGTACTGAACGCCCGCCCACAAAATTTAGTCAACTGTCAAGTCCTACAAAACTACCAGGCCATATCTTGAGAATCCAACTTGTTAAAATTCACTAAATAAGTCTGCCTCAGAATTGTACCCATCGACATAAATTATTGTCGATAAGGGTAATCTAAACACTACCACCTTTGAATAAAACTTTGTTCTTTCCATATTTAGTAGAACATCCTAGTTTAGAATATTTGTATGGAAGATACCAATATTAATAATAACGAACAGTTAATAGAGGGGCGGCAGATTGATTTGCAGATTGGGCGGATTTATTTTTAAAACGCAGACATTTCCTATAACTCATCAGGTCGAGCGCAGTGTGTCTAAAGATGGATCACCGATAAGGAGAAGTAGATGTGATCGTTGAGAAGATACTTTTATTCACCTGACGTTTCGTGGATCCATCATCAGAAACACTAGCAGATTCAGATAATTCATTCGCTGGAAGTTGCAGTATTTATAGGATACAGTCACTACGGCATACGTATGGCAGTTAACTACTCCCCTGTCGAGGATAATTGCCTGCCTGTGTGCTAACTGCTTGATGACCAGTATGCGGGCCATGTCCTGCTGAGCTTTCATCATACGTGCTGAAATTGGAAGTGATGATTGCTCGGCCACCTAGCTCTCCAACATTGGCGGTAGACGACGCGTTGGCCTGCGCGTTCCCCCGAGTGGTAACTTGCTCTGGACGAA